AACCAGGACCCCTCAATCACGTCCTTCTGGGGGAGCAGGGAGCTTAGACCCCAGCCCTGGGGTTCCCTGTGTTCCTCTCCCCAGCCCCAAACTGAAAACTAAACCCACCCAGCAGGTTCCCTGCTGCAGTCTCCGTCCACATTCCTGGGCAGAGGTGTTACCTCCCCCTCCCCCTCCTGGCTCAGGTGACAGGCTCTCAGGTCTCCCATCCCCAGGGCACATTCCCAGGTCAACACTCCCCCCTCCCTGCTGAGTCACATCGTCACATCGGTGTCCTCTTTACACCCCAGAGAGACCATGTGCTCAGTTCAGCGCACATGTAATGACAGGAGGTGGCTGGGAGGGTAGGAAGGAGGGTGCAGAGGACCGCGCACTGGACTGGGACCCAGAAGAACCCGCTTGGCCAGGGATTTGCACTCATAGACTCATAGAGTTTAAGGTCAGAAGGGACCATTATGATCATCTAGTCTGACCTCCTGCACAACACAGGCCACAGAATCTCACCCAACCACTTCTGCAATAAACCTCTCACCTATGTCTGAGCCACTGAAGCCCTCCAGTCATGGTTAAAAGATTTCAAGGTGCAGAGAATCCTCCAGCAAGTGACCCGTGCCCCACTCTGCAGAGGAAGAAGAAAAACCTCCAGGGCCTCTGCCAATCTACTCTGGAGGAAAATTCCTTCCCGACCCCAAATATGGTGATCAGCTGAACCCTGAGCATGTGGGCAAGACTCACCAGCCAGACATCCAGGAAAGAATTCTCTGTAGTAACTCAGATCCCACCCCATCCAACATCCCATCACAGGCCACCGGGCCCATCAAACAAGAATGGTCAAAGATCAAGTAGCTACCAAAATTATGTTATCCCATCATACCTTCTCTTCCATAAACTTATTGATATTAATCTTGAAGCCAGATAGGTCTTTTGCCCCCACTGCTTCCCTTGGTAGGCTGTTCCAGAACTTTACTCCTCTGATGGTTAGAAACCATCATCTAATTTCAAGTCTAAACTTCCTGATGGCCAGTTGGTATCCATTTGTTCTTGTGTCCACATTGGTCCTGAGCTTAAATAATTCCTCTCCCTCCCTGGTATTTATCCCTCTGATATATTTATCATATCTCCCCTCAGCCTTCTTTTGGTTAGGCTAAACAAGCCAAGCTCCTTGAGTCTCCTTTCATAAGACAAGTTTTCCATTCCTCAGATCGTCCTAGTAGCCCTTGTCTGTACCTGTTCCAGTTTGAATTCATTCTTCTTAAACATGGGAGACCAGAACTGCACACAGTATTCCAGATGAGGTCTATCCAGAAGGGATAAACTACCAGGGGGAGGGACGCTAGGCAGTGAGCACTGTCTGGTGGATTGGAGAGTCAGACACCTCCCCCCTCCCAATGTCTTAGGGTGAAAGCCCCTTGAAATCAATGGGTCTCTCTCCCTTGGAGCACGGGCTACTCCAAAATGCGCCAGGCTTCTGCCATGGATACAGACCATACCCAGGAGATGTCCCGAGGTGGGAGGCTCCCCCGGGAGGGTCATATGAGGAAAGAACCGCAGCTGCAGGAAGAGGAAGGCTGGTTTCCCTCTCAGAGACTGACAAACGGCTTTATGGAAGGGGAGGGAATTGGGTGTGGGGAGAAGAAGCAGATTCTGGGCTTCCTCAGAAGAAGAACTGGGCATCTTCCGGGCTTTATCACAGCGAGGGTCAACAGTGTGCCTTTGTTGCCAAGAAGGCCAATGGCATTTTGGGATGTATATGTAGGGGCATTGCCAGCAGATCGAGGGACGTGATCGTTCCCCTCTATTCAACATTGGTGAGGCCTCATCTGGAGTACTTTTTTCAGAGGAACAGCCGTGTTAGTCTGTATTCGCAAAAAGAAAAGGAGTACTTGTGGCACCTTAGAGACTAACCAATTTATTTGAGCATGAGCTTTCGTGAGCTACAGCTCACTTCATCAGATGCATACCGTGGAAACTGCAGCAGACTTTATATATACACAGAGAATATGAAACAATACCTCCTCCCACCCCACTGTCCTGCTGGTAATAGCTTATCTAAAGTGATCAACAGGTGGGCCATTTCCAGCACAAATCCAGGTTTTCTCACCCTCCACCCCCCCACACAAATTCACTCTCCTGCTGGTGTGTACTCCTGCTGGTGTGTGGAGTACTGTGTCCAGTTTTGGGCCCCACACTACAAGAAGGATGTGGAAAAATTGGAAAACGTCCAGCGGAGGGCAACAAAAATGATTAGGGGACTGGAACACATGACTTATTAGGAGAGGCTGAGGGAACTGGGATTGTTTAGTCTGCGGAAGAGAAGAATGAGGGGGGATTTGATAGCTGCTTTCAACTACCTGAAAGGGGGTTCCAAAGAGGATGGCTCTAGACTGTTCTCAATGGTAGCAGAAGACAGAACAAGGAGTAATGGTCTCAAGTTGCAGTGGGGGAGGTTTAGATTGGATATTAGGAAAAACTTTTTCACTAAGAGGGTGGTGAAACACTGGAATGCGTTACCTAGGGAGGTGGTGGAATCTCCTTCCTTAGAGGTTTTTAAGGTCAGGCTTGACAAAGCCCTGGCTGGGTGATTTAGTTGGCGATCGGTCCTGCTTTGAGCAGGGGGTTGGACTAGATGACCTCCTGGGGTCCCTTCCAACCCTGATATTCTAGGAAGGGCTGTGCCGGCAGGACCCAGGGGAGTGTCTGAGGGAGGAAAGCAGCGCCTTCTTATGAGGTGCTTTTCATACGGAGAAGCCGCCTGTGTGTGTGTGTGTTTGCCTGGAGCGGGGTGGGGGCTGCTGCCCTCTACTAGAGAGAATGAGACTTGCGCTGTGTGTGTTTGCCTGCCCCTCACTCTGTTCTGAGGCAAAGGCGGAGACCTTCTCCGTGCACACCGAACACACACTGTGACATAGACACGGGGAACAGCCACGCCGTGCGGTTATTTTGTAGCTCTTAATTCCAGGAATCTTTCTCTGCCCGGCCCGATAACCATTAAATGGAAGACATACCTTTGTTCTGATCGTGCGTTTGAGATGATTTATATGGCCGCGGAAGGTAAGGCGTGTCCAGAGAACCTGGGTAAATACTGCATGGATTTTTTTTTAAACCACCCTATTTCTAGGTATTTTATTCATAGTCAGTTCACTGTGTGTGCATCTGTTTCTCTCAATGGGCTCGCCTATCCCTGTAACTGTGGTCTCCGTGGGCTATTTAGAAACCGCTTCCCCTTTCTGTGGCGATCCCGCTTTGCTCTGTGTCACCGTGTCTCTCCTGGGGCAGTAACAGGCGGCGGGGTCGGCGGCTGCCGGCGAGCGGAGCTGCAGGGAGACCGGGTTCTTCGAGGACTCTGTGGAGACGGTGACTCGGCCGTGGAGAGACGGGGCGTAGCTTGAGCTCCCGCTACTATACGGGTACACATCCCCCATCCACTCCAGCCCTTTCCCGGGGGGCTGCCGGATCCAGTGCTGAGTAGGGATAGAGAAGCTGGAAACAGTGCAGGTCAGCGTGAGGGTCTCTCCGGGCTCCACCATGTCCTGGCCGGACTGGACCAGCTGCCCATGAGAGAGGACATCAGGGAAAAGGGAAAGAAATCCAGGGATGATTTAGTCACTGAATGTGTGTGTGTGTGTCCCTAATTCCCCCACTTCCGCACAGAGATTTACAGGCGAGGGTGGAGAATAAGGAAAGGAAAAGCAATAGAGATTTTATTCTTGCTTTCAAAGGAGGGAAACTCCCCAGCGGGCAGGACCGGGTAGTTCTGCGTCTGGGGAGAGACTGAGGCTCCTAGAACCAGGGGTTTGGATTTAAACAGGAACCCCCTGGGGCAGGGATTTGCATGCGGGTTCCCCAGGGTGGCTATAAGAAATGACAGGGGTGAGCGCTCAGTACATGGCGATGTCCCCTCAGGAACATGTGTCTCCTTTACACCCCAGACAGACGGTGCACTCAGCTCAGCCCACATGGCAGGACATGGCTGCTGGAGGACTCAGGTGGAGCAGGGGGCAGCTACGCAGCCGGCGGTTTCCCCTTCAAAGCACCACGTCTCTCCAGCGGGCTGCGCTGCCACCTGGTGCTCCTCCTGCATCCTCCGGCCCGCGTTCGCTGCCACCCGTACCTCCCGCCTGCTCCCCTGAGGCTGCAGGTGAGCCTCGCTCCCGGCTCTCCTGCCCCCCACAGCTTCTACCCCCGCGGTCCCTCCCCTCAGAGCGGGCTGCCCGAAGGCCCAGCCCTGGGGCTCCCTGTCGTTGGGGGGTCCCGTGCCAGGGCATGATATGTTTCGCGGTAAATCCACCCCTGGTTAGCGGTGGGCAGATGAGCTGCACACCAGGACTTTGAACTGTGAAATGGTATAAAATGCCTTCAGTTCACTCCAGCTGCACAGGCTGTTTCAGAATTTCTACCAGTGACTCCTACAGTGGATTCCTGCAGCACTGGTGGAATATTTTCATTGCCTAGGGAGGTTGAAAGTGGGTGTTAGACACAGATAAGCATTTAATGTCTTAATTTCACGGTCAGTTTGATTTTCTCACACTAACTCGCTTCCTATGACCAGGCAGGATCATGTTGCTTGTTGCATCTGCTGTGCCCCAAAAGTTAATTACTTTCAGTGAATCCCAACCCCAGCCATAACCTTAAACCCAACCCTACATCCCAACCCTCCACCACCCCAACTCAAAGACTAATCGTAACATATATCTCGTTTTGTACCCTAACCTTTACCCTAAACCTTAACCCTAACCTTCCCTTAACCCTAACCCTACTTCTAACCTAATACTCACTTTAAATCCTAATGCTAACATTAGCTGAACCCCTAGCCCCTAATTTTAACCCTCTTCCTAACCCTAATCATATTTCCTTAAACACTTCAGGTACATTAACTCCCTCTCTATCTGCCTCTGTCTATATTGGAACATCTTTTAATGGCAGGACACCTGCATGTGTATTTAGCTGTGCTTCCCTTTTCTCTATGGGTCATGTGTTATCTTAACTTTTTATACAGCTGCACAAAAGCATAATATCTGAGCGCTTCCAAGTGTCTGAAGAGATGGAGATTCAGCCTTGAAGAGACTGGGGGTAGTTTGTACCCCCTTTATATGGATAAATCTCTCCCAGCCACTCCAGCCCTGTCTTGGAGGGCTGCCGGATCCAAACCCAGGAGTGATACGGAGTAGAAATGGAGACCCCAGAGACAGCACAGGTCAGTGTAAGGATATCTTCTGGCTTCATCACTCCTGGGCTGGACTGGACCAGCTGTAACTGAGAGAGGACACCTAGGAAAAGAGAAACAAAGCAAGCAATGAATTAACCACCAAATGCATTGATGGGTCTGTCCCGGGTTCCCCCACTCCGACACAGACACTTACAGCTGGGGGTGGAGAACAGGGAAAGGAAAAGCCACCATGATTTCCTTCTCATTTCCACGTTTAACCCTTCTGCTGGTCAGAGTTGGGAGTAACAAGGGTTTGAATTTAACATGAACGGAAGAACCCAATGCACAGCTACAGACTAGGGACCGAATGGCTAGGCAGCAGTTCTGCGGAAAAGGACCTAGGGGTGACAGTGGACGAGAAGCTGGATATGAGTCAGCAGTGTGCCCTTGTTGCCAAGAAGGCCAATGGCTTTTTGGGATGTATAAGTAGGGGCATAGCGAGCAGATCGAGGGACGTGATCGTTCCCCTCTATTCGACATTGGTGAGGCCTCATCTGGAGTACTGTGTCCAGTTTTGGGCCCCACACTTCAAGAAGGATGTGGATAAATTGGAGAGAGTCCAGCGAAGGGCAACAAAAATGATTAGGGGACTGGAACACATGAGTTATGAGGAGAGGCTGAGGGAGCTGGGATTGTTTAGCCTGCAGAAGAGAAGAATGAGGGGGGATTTGATAGCTGCTTTCAACTACCTGAAAGGGGGTTCCAAAGAGGATGGCTCTAGACTGTTCTCAATGGTAGCAGATGACAGAACGAGGAGTAATGGTCTCAAGTTGCAGTGGGGGAGGTTTAAATTGGATATTAGGAAAAACTTTTTCACTAAGAGGGTGGTGAAACACTGGAATGCGTTACCTAGGGAGGTGGTAGAATCTCCTTCCTTAGAGGTTTTTAAGGTCAGGCTTGACAAAGCCCTGGCTGGGATGATTTAACTGGGAATTGGTCCTGCTTTGAGCAGGGGGTTGGACTAGATGACCTTCCGGGGTCCCTTCCAACCCTGATATTCTATGATTCTATGATTCTATGATTCTATGAACCCCCCAGGGCAGGGATTTACATGTGGGGTTTCCCCAGCGGGTATAAAGGAGGGACACCTCTAGGTCGGGAGTGCTGTCTAGTGGGAAGCAGAGTCATGCATCCCCTTCTTGTCTTAGCGTGTGACTCAAAGTCAATTCACCTTCATTGGAGCCCTTCAAAGCAAGGGATGGTGGATTGGGTCCCTACACTGGGGGTTTGAATCCAGGCTTCTAGCCGTGCCTGCTGCCGAATGCCCTGGGCAGAGCTGTACAATATAAACAAGAGAGAGGAGATGTCCAGAGATGTGACACTGTCTCGGGACTGTTGGGTGGGGAAGGAGCTGCAGCTGCAGGGAGCCACTCACAGGCTGGTTCCGGGCACCCAAGAGTGAGAAACCGCTTCAGGGAAAGGGGAGAGAGCTGGGCAGAGAGGGTAGATGCAGGTTCTGGGCTCTGTCAGAATAAAGGCTGTGACGGCAGTAACCCAGGGACAGTCTAGAGCACATGCATGGGGGAAACACATCGCCTTAGTGTCCCATGCTTTTCCTGTAGCAGAGACACCTGTGAGGCAGAGAGACAGTGTGAGAGAGACAAGGCTGGGCCCTGCTGTCGGGAGTGTAACTTGGTCTGTGTGTAGGTGTGCGTTAGGCTGAACCCAGACAATCCCTTACACTGACCTGTAAAATATCCGGTAACTCCATTTCAAGCTATGCGGTTCGGGACATTGCTGAGAAAAGCAGGGAATGGCTGAGGGAGAACCAATATTCTGGGGTCAGACACTCTGCCCTTTCTCTCAAACACCGGGACGTCCATGGAGAAGGTGGACAAAATGCCTGCTCATGACCCAGAGAAGAAAGAGGATAAACTAGACTGGAGTAAGGCACCTTTACTCAGGTATAACCTCATCCACAGTAGGCCTTGCACTGTTATAACTACATGGGTGAAAACATTACTCTCCTAACTCAAGCAGTTATATGAATACAAAAGCTGTGTGTAGACCAGATCTGAGTGCTCTAGGGAGTCAGGAGTGGTTTAGAAACAGACTTGCTCCAGTTTGTCTTAGGCCTTGTCTACAGGGGAAATTATTTTTGGTATAACCTAAATGTAAATTTAAATCCATGTGTACATATCCTGGTCTAACCCCAAGTGTGCACTCTCATTTGGGTAGAAAAGTGTCTTTCCAGGGTTTTGCTTATATCCCCTGATCTGCACTTAAACTAACTTTCTTTCTTTCTTTCTTTCTTTCTTTCTTTCTTTCTTTCTTTCTTTCTTTCTTTCTTTCTTTCTTTTTCTGAAATAAAACACTTTAACTGTCTGTTGTTAGCCCACTTCCCCTTTTTGTACCACTCCCACTTTGCTCTGTGTCACTGTGTCGCGGGCACAGTAATAGGCGGCGGTGTCTGTGGCTGTCGGGGAGCGGAGCTGCAGGGAGAACTGGTTCTTGGAGGAATCTACTGTGATGGTGATCCTGCTTTGGAGAGATGGGGCGTAGATCGTGCTCCCACCTTTAGTTATACGTCCCATCCATTCCAACCCTTTCCCGGGACTCTGCCGGATCCAGCTCCAGTAGCAACAGCCACTAGAGATGATACCGCTGGAATCTCCAGAGACGGCGCAGGTCAGGGTGAGGGTCTCTCCGGGCTTGACCACTCCTGGGCCGGACGGGACCAGCTGAACTTGCAAGTGGACGCCTGGGAAGAGGGAAAATGTTTATGGGTCTTATTATTCCTACCCCAGTTTTACTCCAAACACCTCAAGTTTAGTGTATGAAAGTTCCCTGCAGTCTCCAGAAATACTCACAAGTCAGGGCAGATAACAGCAACCCAAAAACCAAGAGAGACTTCATGATTTGTTAGGGCAGCGCTCAGTCAGATGTCACCGTCTGGTCAGAGTCTGAGCTACGAGAACAGGGAGGTTTGTATTTAACAGGAGCTCCCCGGGGGCAGTGATTTGCATGCGGGTTTCACGGTGGGGGACATAAGAGAAGGCAGGGAGGAGCTGTCTGTGTGTCTGGGGATCTCCCCCTGGGACATGATTACATCCTACAGCAGAGTATTGCAGAAATACATCCTTCCACTCTGCACAGCCTGACTTAACTAAGGTCTGTCCAGACCAGAGGACAGAGTATAAAAGCCCTGCAGGAGGCAGGGTGGTCTAGTGGGTAAAGGCACTGGACTGAAACTCCAGAGATCTGGCTCCGCTGCTGGTGACCCTGCTCAGGTCACTGCTCTGTCCCTCAGTTTCCCCATCTATAAAACTACCTCCTTTGTAAAGCACTTTGAGATCTACATTTTACCCTAACAAATCATGAAAAGTGCCCTATAAGAGGTATGATTGTTGTTATAGATCACATTGTCTGAATTCAGCTGATTCTTTCCTGTCCAGTCTTGTCTTTTCCTTTTTTTCTTTGTTTTTCTTTTCTTTCCAGTCCAGCTGAGTTACTATATTTATTCTTTTTACAAATAGAAAGAAGGGGATCTATTTAAACCTATCACTAGAATTATTTCCCTTCATTCATTTTTCCTTAGAAACATGGAGGCAATTCTGTATTGCAAAGTCAATTTTGAAAGAGAGGAAGAGCCAGATTTCTAAAGTGCCTGTGAGGTGCCTTCAAAATCACCAAAGTGCACAGCACCCTTTGATTTCAATGGCAAAAAGGAGCCTGTATGTGTTCTGAAAATCCCACTAGGCACCTAGATACCTTTACAAATGTGGCCCCAAATGCATTGGGCACCTTCAGCTTCCCTTGGTTTCAGAGAGATTTATTGGGTGACCAGCACTTCTACAAGGGTTATAAGTTCTCCATGTTGGATTTTCTAAAGAACCTGAGTAATTTAGGAGGAATTCCTTTGACTTTCAATTAGATTTATGCTCCTAAATCTCTGAGACATATTTACAAGGTACTTAGGAGCCTAAAGATGTTGATAGATGTCCAGTGAGATTTACAAAAGTCCTAGGTGAGTTAGGTACCTGACTCCCGCTGTTGTAAATGCTACTAGGTATCTATCTGCACCAGTAAATACTTGGGAGCAGACTTTTAAAGGTATTTAGGCACCCATCAAAATCATCTAAGGACCTAAATACTTTGAACTCTGGCCCTTAGTTGCTTTTGAAAACCCACACTTCATTCTTGTGCGTTTCATTTGCAATAAGTGATGCAGCAGGCAGGCAGAGCTGTAGGGAACAGATATTTATTGAGCCAGTGCTATGTACTTTGAGGCCCATGTTTGTCTATTAGCAGCTTGAACAAGCTTGCAATTTTGAGCCTGTGGTGTTACACCAAATTAGGCCCCATATAGATCCTGACCCTCTTTTTTCTTGTTCCACTCATATTGTAATTCTTGGATATTGCAGCCAAAACTCATGAAACTATTTCTTCTTGAAGTACAATCATAGAAATTATTTGCTGGAACACACACTCCTACAGCATATTAAATTCAGATAATGATATGACCTCCTGGCCAGAGGTACAGAATCACTTACCTGTAAGGGGTTAATCAGTTCAATTAACCAAGTTGGCACCTGACCAGAAGGACCAATGGGGACAGAAGATACTTTCAAATTTGGGGCGGGGGGGGGGGGAGGTTCTGTTTGTGCTCTCTTTGTTGGCTCTCTCTCTGGACAAAGAGACAGACGAAGCAGGTAACCCAGCTCCTAAAATGATCCTGAAATAATACATATAAAAGTACAGAAATGGTAAGTAATAGCAAGGAAATGTGTTAGATTATCTTTTGTTTTAGCTTGTGAATTTTCCCTATGCTAAAAGGGAGGTTTAGTCCTGTTTTTGTAACTTTGAAGTTGAGCCTAGAGGGGAATACTCTGTGTTTTAAATCTCTTTATTACCATGTAAAATTACCTTACATCCTGATTTTACAGAGGTGCTTCTTTTACTTTTTTTCTTTATAATAGAATTCTTCTTTTAAGAACCTGATTGATTTTCAGTGTCCTAAAAACCAGGGATTTGGTCTGTGCTCACTTTGTTAACCTATTGGTTGGTATATTATTCTCAAGCCTCCCCAGGGAAATGGGGTGAAGGTGCTTGGGGGGATATTTTGTGGGGGGATAGGGCTCCAAGTGGCCCCTCCCTGAATGTTTGTTTAAATCACTTGGTGGTGGCAGCCATACCATCCAAGGACAAGGAAAGGAATTTGTACCTTGGGGAAGTTTTAACCTAAGCTGGTGTAATATAAGTTTAGGGGGTCTTTCATGTGGGTCCCCACATCTGTACCCCAGAGTTCAGAGTGGGGAGGGAACCCTGATATCCCCTCTCTGTGTAATGTGGAGAAATACACTGCCATTCATTAACATCCTGGTGACATGGTTTTTGAAATGGGATGCATCAAGGTGGGGTGGCAGTATTTATTTGCAGCACAGTAATAAGTGGCGGTGTATTCAGTGGTCACTGAATTCAACACAAGATAATACTCATTTCTGCAAGTGTCCCTAGATATGAGTAATCAGTTTTGGAATGATGGGGAAGGGTGTGAACCACCACCTCCACTAATGTGTCCAACCCATTCCAGCTGGCTCGGTTGAGTCCAACAGACACATCCCCAGTCATAAGACTCAGTGATGGGGACAGGTCAGCTGGAGTGATTCCATAGGTATCAAAACCTGCTCTCCTGATTGCAGCCATCACTGTGTCAATTGCGTCTGAAAAAGGGCACCTGGGAAGAACAGGGATGGGAGAATTCAAAGCACAAGCAACCACACAGAAGGAAGAAGGGATCCATAACACACACAAAAATGGTATTAGACAAATAACTACATCCCACTGCCTCCTAACAAAACTCAGAGGACCACAGGATAACAAGGTAAAGGGAAATGATCAAAGCTTTAATCGTTCTTTTATGGGAAGATTCAAGGAGAATGAAACTGTCCATTCAAGATTCGGATGGACAAAATCCTCTGGGAGTTTCTATTTAAACAAGAAACCCAGATGGCTGATTTGCGTGAAGGGTACATGCTTCAGTGGCAGATATAAAAACAACCAAGTGGTTATTTTGTCACTACATCTCTCCTCCCCCTTCTGTTCTTTAGGGGAAGCATCTGTGCAGCTCAGGAAATGAATTTAAAAGCAAGTCCGAGCTCTTAGTGATTAGAGAAGGGCGGGTACTGGGGATTGTGGACACCTGGGTTCTATTTTCACTTTTGAAAAGGGAGTGTAGTCTAGTGGGTTACAGCAGGAGAGCTTGGAGTCAAGAATCCAGGCTTCTATTCCCAGCTCTGTGAAGAGACTAGGGTGCAGTGTGTCTGAGAATCTGGGAGTCAGGACTCCTGGGTTCTATCCCAGTTCTGGAAAGGGAATTGGGTCCAGGGGCTTACAGAAAAGGGGCTTTGTGAGCCAGGACTCCCTGGGTTCTATTTCAGGTTTGGGAGCAGATTGGCATCTAGGGGTAAAGCAGAAAGTGCTGGAAGTTAGCACTCCGGGGTTCTATTCTGGAATCTATCTCGGGGATTGTGGGATCAAGTACCTAGAAGAGGAAAAGGGGAGTTATGAAACTTCCCTTCTCCCAGTTGAAGAACTGACTTTATTTGTGACTTGGGGAATGTCACTTTGAGTAAGATGTTCAAAGGAACTGACCATTCCAATTACTTTAAGCTGGCATTCTCACAGCAAATCTGGCACCTAACTCCCTTAGGTCCCCTTGGAAATTCAAGGACTATTGTGGTCATTTAGATATCTTCATGCTTTAAGGTAATGGGACAATATAAAGGTACAAATGCCTCAAGCAATGTGCACTGGGGGGAGCCATAGTAATGAGTACAATTCTCCTGTAATTCAGGATTAATTTTGCAAGATACAAGGTTGGAGATGTAGGGAACCTTGACAGCCTGAGAGCACCCGTGAGAGAGAAGCAGAGAGAGAGAGGGAATGTTTTTTTTTTCAATCATAAAGTCATATAAATAGCCATTTTTACTGTCTTGGATCGGAACAAGAAACACCTGTGTTTCTTTCTCTTTCAGCTATGACTGCTTCTGTTATTGTATTAATTTCAGTTAACTTACACATATACATGAATGGTCTGTGACCCACCTAGGAAGAAATTCACTGGAGTAGAAGTTACTGGAGTTATGCCCATTTACACCAGGAGAGAATTATTTATATATTTAAATACACATTCTTTTCTTTTCTTTTCTTTTCTTTTCTTTTCTTTTCTTTTCAGTTGTTGGACCAAGCAGCACATTCTGCAGCACCTGGCTTTGAAACAGGAATCTAGCCCACTGAAAGCAATGGACGTTGAAGTAAATAGGGAATCTGTTGACTGAAATGGGTGTCTTTTAAGAGATTGCCCATATATAAATGTAAGGTAAAATTCTCAAAAGCATCTAATATGTTAGAAGCCTAAATCCCATTTTAAAAAATGTCGCAGGGTAAAAATGTCAGAAGCACTCAATGACCTAGGAACCTACCTCCTATTTCTCAAAATGACTTTAGGATTTAATCTTAAATCCCCTTCACTTAACATAAGATTTAGGGAAACATTCTCAAAAGCACCTATGTGGCTTAGTGCTAGGATTTGAAAGGTTTGTAACTCTGAAAAAACATTGCTTCTGGGGGCTCAGGCCGAGGCCTGGATTTGTGCTTGCATGTATCACGGTGGTTTCTACATCTGGTAGGTGCTCCTAGCACAGTAGGATGTTGCTGTGTTGAGTGGACTCAGGCTGTCCACTCGCAGGTAGAACCCGTCTTTGGAAGGGTCCACAGAGACGGTGGCTCGATTTTGAATGTCAGGGAAATAGTGGGTGTTTCCATATCTGTCTATCAATGCCAGCCACACCAGCCCTTTTCCTGGGGGCTGCCAGTCTCCACCAGAGAAGGCAGAATCTGAGATAGCACAGGTCAGACTGAGGGACCCTGAGACTGTCACCTCTCCTAAACCAGACTGGGTCATCTTAAACCCCAAGATGGGGCCTGGCAAGAGGGGGAAATGCATTAATGAAAGAGGTAATAAACCAGCAATCAAGGCTTGTTTTCTCAAAGACATACACCCAAGGTCCCACTGAGACTGAATGGGACCTGGACACCTAATTCCCTGAAACCCAGCCCAAGTAATTATTTCCCACAGTCATCCCGCAAATAGTCACCCATGTGGAAGGTTGAGATGGAAATGCAGAACAATAATAGTTTCATATTTTTCTTTACTGGAAAAACTTCTCTGTCATAAATAACCAGCTCATTTCCTTGGGACAGACTCAGGTTCTGAGATTCTGGAGTTTCTCTTTGAAGAGGAAACCTGAGGGAAGCAATTTGCATTCAGGTTTCACAAACAGAGTATAGCACATCAAATGGGCCTGGACCGGGGGAAAAGGTGGGTAAATCCAGAACCTCAGCTCCTTGTGGGTGTAACTCTCAATGGGTGAAACTGATTCCAGTGCAAATGGACACAATGCATATAGGGAGAAATTCACTGGAGTTGTGTCCCCTTAATTCAGCAGAGTATTTATTCCTTTACCTCTATTTTGAGAGCTTAAGTGATGCACAGCCCTCTTTTACTAGCCCTCTACATAGAAGTTAAATTCACCCAGTGTGCCACACAGAAAGAAGTAAAAATTGGGCATAAATTCTGGTTTATTGGGGTGAATGAGAATGGGGCCTTTTACCTATAGACCTTATATACCCCCATGACTGTAATATCTGGACTTATCAGAGTCTTTAATGTATTTCATCTTATGACATCTCTGTAGGTAGAGAAATAACGTTATCCTCATAGAGATAGGGAAAACTAAGCATGAAGGACCAGATTTTAAAGTTATTAAGTTACCTGAACATGAAGATAGGCAACTAACAGGATTTTCAAAAGTACCTAAGCTCCTACCTCCATCTTTAGGTGCCTAAATACCTTGAAAACATCTGTCCCAAGGAGATCAAGGACCAGATTTTCAAATGTATTGAGGAAACTAAAAAAGGAGATATGCACCTAGTGGTATTTGAAAAAGCACCGAGTGGCCTAACATCTTTTGAAATCAATGGCAGTTAGGGGCCTTTTGAAAAATCCCTCTGGGTACCTAAAAAGCTTTGAAAATCTGGTTCTAAGTTTTCTCCTGAAAGTCTCCTGCACAATACAGAATCCAAGGAAGGTCTCCTGGCCTTCGTCACATGAAATGTAATCCTGTTCTTCAGTGTCTCAGGCTAGTGTCCCCAGCACCAGAACATCCTTCCCCTGACAAGGATAAACAAAGAAGTTGAGACTCTCAAAACTGCCTAAAGGCTTTGAATGCTCCATTCCTTCTGGAAAACAAGTGAGTGTCCAAATCCTTTAGGTGGCTTAGAAAATTTCAGGCCTTTAAACTTTAACAATGAAAGTGAAAATAAAGGAGGAAAATGCACAAAGAAAAATGATAAGCAAAATATAAAGGGACTGATTCTTCTCTTGCCTACCTCAGTTTTACAACAGTGTAACTGCCTGGACTTTAATGGAGTTGGTCCTGACTTATGCCTGTGTATGTGAGAGGAGAATCAGGCTCAGTATTTCAAAGACTTGACACTGGGGCCCTTTGAAATGAAGGGGACTTTTCCATTGGGAGTAGAATAAGGAGATAAAAAGAATAATTGGAGGGGGTGTGAATGGACCATAAAGGAACTGACTGTCAAGGACAGTTGGGCACCTAATTCCCATAGGCTTTGACAATCCCTGCCGTATCTTGTGTTGCATGCATCTCGGTCCCATTTCTATAGTCAGTTTAGGGTGGGATTTTCAAAACATCCAAGTCCCTTCGGAAGTTAAGGTGAGATTTTTAGAAGAGCCTAGGATCTTTCTACTTGACGGAGCTCAGAAAAGTTAAGGTTATTTAACTAAAGTTGTGACAAGAACATGCATTAAACCCCTGTGTGTGGAAGCTCTCATTGAGAAGAAAAGTGGCTCTAATTCTCTTAAAGGGGGATTTTCCTGAGTGTCCCCATGTATGGAAGCACAGTCAAGCAGCACAGTGTCAGAACTGGAATCCAGGGCTCCTGATCCCTAGTGCCAAGCCTAGACTACAACACAGATCTTCTGACTCCCAGTTAGCTGCCCTACCCATTGGGGGTGACTTCCTCTCCTTTCTCCTGCAGGATGATGACTACATTGTTCCACAGGTGTTTCCCCCGTCCCCACCTCCCCATTCTTATTAACTGGTTTTGGGAGTGGCATTACTTCAGCCTTACTGCACTGTCTAGAAACACTCCCCTTTTTTGCTATTCCTCTGTTTCACGGTGTCACTCTCTGGCACAGTAATACGTGGCAGTATCTGCAGTTGTTAGGGTGCTCAGCTGAAGGGAGAATTCATTTTTGGAAGCGTCTACAGAGATGGCTAATCGGCTTTTAAGAGACTGGGCAGAGAACATCCTCCCATCTCCATACATCTCTGCCATCCATCTACTTCTTAAGAATACTAGTATCTTTTTTTTTGGGGGGGGGGGGGAACAGAATTTTTCTGGAGTCAGGGAATACAAACTTTGGGGGAGCACCAAAGTCAGTGTAGGGGTTCTCTAGCTCCAGCATATTAGAAGCCCAGCGGAAACCGGGAGGTAAAGAGGAATGCAGCCCTTTTAGAAAAGCTCATTCCCCAGCTCCAGAGACACCCTCTCCAGGTAACATGAATCTATTCCCATTTCAGAAATGTCCCTGCAGGCCTCTGGTTTATTATGGATTTAACACTGCTGCTGCATGGCAGCTGTGAGAAGTGCAGTGTGTAAGCTGGTAACATGATCTTGGTTCTTTTGGATGGTGCTGGAAGGCAAATATTCTTCAGTAAGCGGAGTGTGAAAGACTGATAAAGCTGCTTTTGAATCCTCTTGCCTGCTCCACGTTTTGTTGTTTTTCTGTAGCTTGGAGGTTCGTGTCCTACTCAGCCCATGAAAAATAAAGTGACAGTCCGGGATCCACAAATCCTTTAAACCCCAGACATTCATTTTATTTCTCAGACTTCCCCTTGGTGCTGTTTATTGCTACTCCTCTATCTCCACTGTTGCGGAAAAGCTTTACGAAGAAAATTTTCCCGAAGACAAGTGAGTTTGATGCCAGAGAGAACAGGGATCCAGTGGAGGGCTGAAAAGATCAGAGTGACATGGTCAGAAACCATGGACACTGGAAATGATCTTTGCAAAGACGTTCTGAACAGAGATGGGCACGACTGACTAAATGTTCTCTCTTTCAAAGCCAATTATATCATCAATACATAAGGTGTTTGCTTGTTTTTTATTGGCTCCTCATGTGATTATCAGCGGCACCATTTAATATCTGGTTCCCCTTTCTGTACAGGTCCCTGCTGGGCTCAGGGTCACCGTGTCACCGTCTGGCGCAGGAACAGCCGGCGGTGTCTGCAGCTGTCAGCGAGCGGAGCCGCAGGTACAGCTCCTTGCTGGAATTGTCGGTGCTGGTGGAGATTCGGCTCTGGAGGGAGGGGATGGAGCTGGATCTAGCCCAGCCCTTTGCCAGGAGCCTGTCGGATCCAGGGGCAACCGCTACTGGCAATGGAGAAACCAGAGGTGGCAAAAATCAGCTGGAGCGAATCTGAGGCCTTCACGGTTCCAGGACCAGACTGAACCAGGTTTACTTCAGAGAGGACACCTAGAAAGGGGATATGGATTAAACACTTTATTAAAGCTAATGTTAACATTATATAATCTACAGGTTAAGAAAATAGCACAGCTGGGTGTAATAAGGCTAAAATTATCCAAAAATACAAAATTTGGTTTAAAAGTCATACAATACATAAGAGTACATAATCAGCAATAACCCACATTTAGATTAATAGATTTAACAATACAGTTTAGGTATTAGCATCTAAATATTCAGAAGAGCTCAAACATCTTTTGGGTGCTCTGCAAATCTCAGCTTTAGGTCACAGAAGGACCTTTGAGGCTAGCCTTCCTTAAGTTCCACCCAGGCAGTCTGTGGAAATGGGGGATGAGAACACAGCATTGGGGTGTCTGAGGCGAGAGTTTTAACCAAAAGACCCTCCTTCCAGTCTGAGGGTACTGGGTGTTTTGTCACCCTGACGAGTTCAGAGATGGGAAAGAGCAAGGTGAAATTTGAGGGGTTGGTTCTACTCCCATTCCTCTGTGTGTGAACCACGAGTAACACTATTGCAGGGAATGGAGTTACATCCTTTTGAAAAGCTGTAGGGGAAAGGCAAACCAGATCCAAAGGGTTTTTGGAAATAATAGTTATGTATGCAAAATGTCACAAACATTGGCTACAGAAAAAAATCCCCTAAAAACCTTTGCGGGAAAAAAATCTACTCTGATTTACACTGGTGTAATCCGGAGTAACCGTATTCACTTCAATAGAATGACTCTAAATTTTTTCCCCGTGTAAAAACCCAGCAGCCACTAACTGATAGGAGTGAGGAAGAAATTTTTGTTCTTGCCAGGTTATTCTTCAGTTGCCTACTGGGGGTGACTTGACCCTTCCCCCGAAGAAGCAGCTTCTGGACACAGGTGCAGAGACAATACTCGAATGCATGGATCCCTGCTCTGATCCGCTTTGGCAATTCCTGTATAAATGCGAGCAGCATTTGCCCCGGTGAATCGTGTTGTCTGAATTGGGGGTTAGGAGGGGCCCGCTAATCTTTACTGGTGTGTTCTGTGTAAAGTTTAGGGCTAGGATTCTCAAAGGCTCCTAAGAAAGTTTTTGGAGATTTGCATAGAGATAAAACAGGAGGAGAGAGAGAGAACTCGCGACGTCTTGCCTTGTCATCTGCACAGTCACAGCAAGCCTATTATTTGCACAAGTTCCCCTTTGGTTTGGCTCAGTGTGTGTCTTGTGGCACAGTAATAGCTGCCGCTGTCTCCGGCTTCCATGCCTCTCATTTCCAAATACACCTCGCTTTTAGAGGTGTCCCTGGAGATGGTCAATCGGTTTTTGAGGGATTCGTGGTAGCCCTTGTCATCATCCCAATACACAATGGATAACCACTCCAGGCCTTTCCCCGGGGGCTGTCGAACCCAGCTCACTGCATTCCCGCTAGAAGTGAGAGAGTATCCGGACACTGAGCAGGTGAGTCTCAGGGTCTGTGAGGGCTTCACCTGGGCTGCTCCGGTCTGCAGCAGTTTAACCTGGGAACGGACACCTGCAAAGAGCAAGGGGAAATCTCAGTCAGAAAGATGACAGCAGCGGGCGCTGTAGAGAGGAGAGACAAATTTGTTAGTCTCTAAGGTGCCACAAGTACTCCTGTTTTGCTTTGTTTTGTTTTTTTGCCCGGATACAGACTAACACGGCTGCTACTCTGAAAACTGGTCACTCCTCGGTACTTACATGCTGCAATAGCAAAGAGAAGGAGAGACAGGATCAAAGGTTTCATCTTCCCTCTTGGAAGCCAGATAGAAACAGGCACCAAGACCCAGAGGAAATCACACAGGCTTGACTTTGGCAGGGACCGCTGTAATAAATACTGAGAATATTCTATTCCTAAAAGGAAGCAAAATAATCATTTGCATACCACGCCACGCCATGCAAAGCGTTGGTAAATGAGTTATCTCTGTTCTCCTCATATATGAGATGCCTAATAGCCATGCGAATGGGTCGTGTACAGACTGTTATTGCGTTATCTCCTAGAAAGCCAAAGCAAGTGCATAGCCCCGGTTTGCTAGACACTGCACAGACATGTAGTAAGAGACCCTCCCTTGGTAAGAGACTGCCTCCTTAAGTCATATATTCATATAAATAGCTAGATAAGTCATTTCTCTATCTCTCTCCCTCCATCTCTATCTATCTATCTATCTATCTATCTATCTATCTATCTATCTATCTATCTATCTACCCCATCCACCCCATCTATCTATCTATCTATCTATCTATCTATCTATCTATCTATCTATCTATCCCCATCCACCCCATCCACCCCATCTATCTATCTATCTATCTATCTATCTATCTATCTATCTATCTATCTATCTATCTATCCCCATCCACCCCATCTATCTATCTATCTATCTATCTATCTATCTATCTATCTATCTATCTATCTATCTATCTATCTATCCCCATCCACCCTGTCTATCTATCTATCTATCTATCTATCTATCTATCTATCTATCTATCTATCCCCATCCACCCTATCTATCTATCTATCTATCTATCTATCTATCTATCTATCTATCTATCTATCTATCTATCGCCATCCACCCCATCTATCTATCTATCTATCTATGAGATGCCTATACACAAGGGTGATTCAACGTGAGTGATCAAATTATTTAATTATTAACATTAATACTATTATTATTGCCAGACATGCCCCCTAGTGTCAGCTACTCTCACCTGCAGAATACCATAGATCACCAGAGATGATGCTTATGGTACGTTAGTGATCAGAGGCAGTGGGTGGTCTAGAGGAGTGTGCTCTGCCTGTGGCGTGCAGCGTTACTTTGGGCAAGTCCCCTCACTTCCCTGTCATGTACCTCCATTGCTCCATCTGTAAAAAGGAGAATAATACTTCCTCCTCCTTGTCAGGAGCTTTGAGATCTCCTGTTGAAAAGTTATTACTACTAATAATAACAAAGTTTGCAATGTGTGGTGTCTTGTCACTTAACAGCAGTATTCACTGTGGACAGGGCTTACAGACTCATAGACTTTAAGGCCAGAAGGCCATGATTATCTAGTCTGACCTCCTGCACATTGCAAACCACAGAACCTCACCCACCCATTCCTGTAATAGACCCCTCACCTCTGGCTGAGTTACTGAAGTCCTAAAATCATGGTTTAAAGACTTCACGTTGCAGAGAATCCACCATTTACACTAGTTTAAACCTGCAAGTGACCCGTGCCTCATGCTGCAGAGGAAGACAACCCCCCCTCCCCATCTCTGCCAATCTGAAGGGGGGGGGGGATTCCTTTCCAACCCCAAATATGGCCGTCACTTAGACCCTGAGCATGCACATGGAAAAGAATTCTCTCTAGTAACTCAGAGCCCTCCCCATCTAGTGTCCTGTCACCAACTGTTGGAGATATTTGCTGCTGGCAGTCACAGGTCAGCTACATGCCGTTGTAGGCAAACTCATACCATCCCCTCCATAAACTTATCAAGCTCCGTCTTGAAGCCAGTTGGGTTTTTCTGCTCTCACTGCTCCCCTTGGAAGGCTGTTGCAGAACTTCACTCCTTTGATGGTTAGAAACCTTCCCCTAATTTCAAGCCTAAACTTGTTGATGACCATTTTATATCTATTTGTTCTTGTTGGTAACATGCCTTCTTTTTTTAAAGCTTCCTCATCCTGTAGCATCCTAAAAATTCAGCCCCCTTCATTTCAATTGTCTGGTTCCCAAAGCCGTGTTGAGAGAACAATGGTCTATGTACTATCAGGTTCCTGCTTTCCATAGACCACCTTTTGCTCTTCCTCCCCTGTCCTCCCCCCCCCCCCCCCCCCAGACAGGTAAGGAAAACCAGACGCATATAAAGGTGCTCGTATTTTGGAGGAATCTCCTAATTTTTCCCACACATATATTTACCGCATTTGTTGACCTGTGATGTTACAAGGGGCAGAGCTATTTAGGTCAGCTAGCAGGAATAGAGCTAGTTTTCTGGCATTTGTGTTTTGATAAAGTTATATTCCTTAGCTTTTGTCATAAATATAAAGGGAAGGGTAAACAACTTTAAAATCCCTCCTGGCCAGAGGAAAAATCCTTTCACCTGTAAAGAGTTCAGAAGCTAGGATAACCTCGCTGGCACCTGACCAAAATGACCAATGAGGAAACAAGATACTTTCAAAAGCTGGGAGGAGGGAGAAAAGCAAAGGGTCTGTGTCTGTCTGTGTGATGCTTTTGCCAGGGACAGAACAGGAATGGAGTCTTAGAATTTAGTAAGTAATCTAGCTAGAGATGCGTTAGATTATGATTTCTTTAAATGGCTGAGAAATTAAGCTGTGCTGAATGGAATAGATATTCCTGTCTGTGTGTCTTTTTGTAACTTAAGGTTTTGCCTAGAGGGATTCTCTATGTTTTGAATCTAATTGCTCTGTAAGGTAGTTACCATCCTGATTTTACAGAGGTGATTCTTTTTGACGTTTTACTTCTATTAAAATCCTTCTTTTCAGAAACTGAAGGCTTTTTCATTGTTCTTAAGATCCGAGGGTTTGGGTCTGTGGTCACCTATGCAAATTGGTGAGGATTTTTACCAAACCTTCCCCAGGAACTGGGGTGCAAGGGTTGGGAGGATTTTTTGGGGAAAGATGTTTCCAAACAAGGCTTTCCTAATAAAAATAAACCCAGACAAATGTTTGGTGGTGGCAGTGGAAGTCCAAGGGCAAAGGGTAAAAGAGTTTGTACCTTGGGGAAGTTTTAACCTAAGCTGGTAAAAGTCAGCTTAGGAGGTTTTCATGCAGGTCCCCACATCTGTACCCTAGAGTTCAGAGTGGAGAAGGAACCTTGACAGCTTTTTTTCCCAAGAGGACAATTTCTTCCTATTTATGGTCCCCATTTCCACAAAGAAACCAGAGGGAATGGAGTCACTGATTACAAGAGCCAGTAAAACCTTCCCCTTCCTTTGCAACTTTCAAATGACTGCCGAGGCAAAGCAATGGAGAGCGAGTCTACATCTCTCCAAAGAAACCAGTGGGAACGCAGCCGCTTTTCTCTGCATTGTTGAAAAGACACTTCCCTTTTTGAACGAGTTGCAGCTATCTCCCACCTTGACTCATTATGAACTTGCTGCAGGTTTTGTTCCACAGGCCGAGAGCCCCTTTGGTGTCCACAGTTGGATCATGATTCTGGAAGGAATGGCTTTTGCAGGCAGGACCAGGCAGTTCAGTATCTGGGGAGAGACTGAGGCTCCTAGAATCGGGAGTTGGTATTTAAACAGGAACCCCCCGGGGCATCGATTTGCAGGCTGGTATCACAGGGAGGATATAAGCGATTAAAGAGACTGTTAAGGGGGGCTGGCTGAAGCGGTGCTGTAGATTAGAACCATTGTCCCCCCGTAGTGATAATGTGGCTCTTGCTGCTTGGAAATTCTTGATTGTTTCTCAGGGTGTTTATGGAGGATGCTGGCGGGTCCCTCCCCGCTTCTGCATCTTAGGTGCAAACAGTTCCCTGTTATTGTACCCTCTTCCCAAAGTGACTCCACGCCCTGTACCTGACCCCTCTGCAATATATCAGAAGGAAAAAGAGCTAAAATCCCCTTGATCATTAGGAGCAGTTCCCAGGGAATTAGGTGGGAAAATCCCACTGCTCAGTAAGAGACCTGGGTTTGTTTTCCTGCCTCCCTTCCCAAGAAACCACCATGCTGGTCCTCCTGCTGATTCTTGCTTCCCCTTTATTGTAAACTTTCCTGGGGAACGTTGTCTCGCTGTTAAGTGTAGGACAACCGAGGCTTGGGGCCAGATTTCTGAAGGTATTTAGGCTCCCAGAGGGATTTTCAATAGCATCTAGGCACCAAAACCTCACTAATTTCAATGGGAATTAGGTGCCTAGATGCTATTGAAAATCCCTCTGGGAGCCTAAATACCTTCAGAAATCTGGCCCCAAGCCTCGGTTGTCCTACACTTAACAGTGCTTTTGGGAGCCCCATTAGACTCCTAAACCCTTTAGAAATCCCACCGGACCAGGGGCGCTGGAATAATTTGCATAGTGGGGGTGCGGAAAGCCATTGAACCAAACTGTAAATCCTGTATATGATGGAAACAACTTCAAGCCAGGGGGTGCGGAAGCACCCCTAGTTCCAGCATTTGTGGACCCGACTGAACTATGTACTTATATATTGAAAAAGCCCTTGGCAGTTCTGTTGGTTTTTCACAAGTTGGATGGCAAGTGTGCGCCCACCAGTGGGGCTAGGAAACTTCTCCAAAGCCCGAAGTCTACGGTATGGTATTGGGCACAAAATCCAAGACTATTCCCCCAGATTCCTCACCCTCCAACTCCGCCAACCTCCCCTGCATATTTCCTTTCAATTTGTGTGGGTTCTAGTTGGGGAACCCCGTATTTGGCTTGTCTGCACGAACAAATGGACCGCTGTAAGGTGGGGGTGTGAATCGATCCTGCTATAGAATCATAGAATATCAGGGTTGGAAGGGACCTCAGGAGGTCATCTAGTCCAACCCCATGATCCCGTTGTGGCCTAATTGCTGGTGTGCACCCTGGAGATTTTCATTCACACCTCCTTAGAACGCTTTGGTCTAGTCCCCTTTGAAACCGGAGTAGCTCAGAGCATTCTGGCGAGCTCTTAATCAGGTTCATGAGGATACATACGAACAGTTAGACCGCAGCAGGCTAGTGCAGGGGTAGATTCATCCCCCACCTCACTGTTGCCTTAGACAAGTGTGTTAAACCAGTCTCCCTGCGCTGCTCACAATCTGCTTCCCCTTTCTGTACGGGTCCCCGCTTTGCTCCATGTCACTGTGTCTCTCGGGCGCAGTAATAGGCGGTGGTGTCCGCAGCTATCAGCGAGCGGAGCTGCAGGGAGAACTGGTTCTTGGAAGGGTTCACCGAGATGGTGATGCGACTCTGGAGGGAAGCGGCGTAGTTTGTGCTTCCCCCTCGATTTATATTCCCCATCCATTCCAGCCCTTTCCCGGGACTCTGCCGGATCCAGCTCCACCAGCAACAATTACCGCCCAGGGTGTCCGAGGAGGCCCCTGAGATGGAGCAGGTGAGGCTGAGAGTCTCTGAGGGTTTTACGGTCCCGGGTCCTGATTCCACCAGCTGCACTTGTGACAGGACCCCTGTGGAAAAGACAGAGCCGTGTGAATTAATCCCACAACCCATTCATCACCTGGTGGTGTGCAGATCTGTCCCACGCAATACTCACACGAGGGGGCGGCCAGCAGGAGAAGGAATACAAATAACGGCTTCATGATTGTACTATCAGAGAATAGATCCTCCCTCAGAAACGCCAGAGAATCTGAGCTTTCTACCGCCAGGAGCTTGTGTTTATACAGGGCAGGCAAGGGCAGGGATTTGCATGCAGGTTTCCCTCAGCGGATATAAGAGAGGAGAGGGGTTGAACGGGAAATGGTGACGCTCTGTGCCTTACACAAAGGAGACACACAAGTCCGATCTACACCCACAGATTTTGAATCATGGGATTGTCCAACAGAAATAGGAATGACCCGGGCAGCTCTGGGCATATGCAGCGCTCGGTCTGGGCATCATCTCTGGTCATGTCAGAGGCTGCAGAGAGAAGTGGTTCTTGGATGTGTCTGTAGAGATGATGGTTCGGCCTTTCCAAGCCTGGAAATAAACTGAATCTCTCCCCATACTTCATATGTTCTATCCATTGCGGTGCTTTCGCAACAGGCTACCAGACCCAATTCCAAGAGTGATAATTCTGAGTGGTGGAAAGGTTTGAGACATCACAGGTCAGCGTGAGGTTCTCTCCTCCCTTCCCCATTCTCTGGGTGTACTTGGCCCTGCCTCAGCCTGGGGGCGATGGACCAGGTGACCTCTGGAGATCCACTCCAGCCCTACATTTCTAGGATTCTGTGAGTCCTGGCACGGACTAGACCAACTAGGTTTCAGAGCGGACACCTTTTGGGGAGTAAAGAAGGAGCAAATCTGTGAGCGAAAGGCACAGTTATAGAGAAAAACGATTCTCTCCCTACTTTTCCCCAATACACATAGGAAGGAATAGCTAATAGAAGATTGAAGTCTGTAGGGATTTTCTATTTATGCACAGTTACTGTGGAAGACTTGGGCTCCAGGTTCTTGATGAGATATTCCTGGATGAATATTGGAGTATCTAGAATCAGCGCCTTGTGTTTAAACAGAGACTCACTGGGGACAGAGGTGTACATGTGGGTTTCACCCAATGGTGAAGAGAAATTAAAGGGTTCGAGAGGGAGGTTTCTGTTTAAAAGAGGAAGCTTCCCCTGGGATACGGCCTCACAGAAGGAGAAAATACACGTCAGAGTCGTGGGACTTCAAGCACAATGTCTAGTTAGGGGCCTACAGAGTAGCACTCAGTGGGAGTTAGGTATGTAGCCCAGACTTTCTCTTGTAACTGCTACTAGATGCATATCTGCATTTTTAGGCTCCTCAGCACCATTGAAAATCTGGCCCATGATGCTGAAAACTGTTTATAGAGGCCAGCATCTTCCCTGAGAGGGTTTGTCTCAAACTATTTTTCTCCTCTTTCAGGGGAATACTTTCCACAGACTTTCACACAATTTACCGGTGTAACTCATTGCAGCAGGAGATCATGAGGGCGAAAGTTTTATCACCATGAATGATCATTTTATCTTTAGATTGTGTTCGTCTACACATTTATGAATACTATAGAAAACGGGTTATTTCTCCTCTCATTCACCTCTGGTGTAAATCTCTGGTAACTCCATTGGAGTCAAGGTGAATGAATCTCCATTTTCTTTCTTTCTTTCTTTCTTTCTTTCTTTCTTTCTTTCTTTCTTTCTTTCTTTCTTTCTTTCTTTCTTTCTTTCTTATCATAACATATGTAATAAAAAATCAGACGCCCACAGGGGAGTTTATAAATTGTACAGGGTCTCCTAGATAGTTTTAATAAATGTGTTACCATGGATTTTTTACTTTCTATGTTACAGGAATTTGACATCGGTGTTATCAGGTGGAAGGAATACCCTTTGTTTGCTTGCTACTGTGTTTTGAAAGCAGTTATATTCCTTATCCCCCCATTGTTCTCCCATTAACATACCCACCTCTCTAGAGGGACTCAGTTGGAGTGGAGGCGCAATCTCCCCTTTCCATTACAACTTGCAAATGACAAGGCCTGGGTAAAGGAGATGCAGAACCACGCCCGGAGTCTCCCCGCTGTACTCCGCGCCTCACTGCACGATTCAAAAAATACCTCCCTTTTTCGTACGGCTGCCTGCCGGTGTGTCCCTGAGCGTTGCCTCTGGCGCAGGGACAGGTGGCGGTGTCCGCAGCTGTCAGCGAGCGGAGCTGCAGGGAGACCCGGTTCTTGGCGGTGCCCTGTGCGATGCTCATTCGGCTCTGCAGAGACCTGGCGTAGTCAGTGGAGCACCCAGTAGGTTGGTGGCAGATGCGCCCCATAAACTCTCCAGCCCTTCCCCCACAGGCTGCCGGACCCGGTCCCAAGTGGCTCTGGTGCTAGAAACCGAGTCTCCAGAGATGGTGCAGGTGAGTTTCAGGGACTCCCCGGGCTTCACCGCTCCCAGCTCTGCCTCCTGCGGCTGTACTTGGGAGAGGACGCCTGGAAAGGGAAGCCATAAATGAGTCTTATCCCCTGGGGGAGGAGCACGTGTGAAAATAAAACATCTTGAACCTGAGCTGAAGGGAGTTAGGTTCCCAACAGCCACTGACTTCTTTGGGATCCGGGAGCTTCATTCCCTTAGGCCCCCCCTTGACAATCTCGGGCTCTTGAGTAATTCCAGCAGCGAATGTCCCCACAGACACTCACAGGAAGGGGGCCCCAGCGTGGGTAGGAAGATCAGTAGCAAGTTCATAATGGGTGAAGGTGGAAAATGTCCAAAGCGGACAGGACAGGGCAGTTCTGTGTCTGGATAGAGACCAAGGCTTCTAGAATCAGGGGTTTGTATTTAAACAAGAACCCCTGGGGCAGGGATTTGCATGCTGGTTTCCTAGCGTGGGTATAAAACGTGTCAGAGTGTAAGCTCTACATACACATGGGACTCTCTTGCTGGGATACTACTTCCCTTGACACAATGAATTCATTTCCTCAAGGGGGCTGAGAAATCTGAAGTGGCCTAAGTGCTTTATTTGGGGGCCCAAATTCCATTGAAACCCAAAGGGTTTGGGCACCTAACTCTCACATACGTCTTTGAAACATCACAGCCACATTTAATTTCAGGAGAGCATTTTCTTAGGACTGAGGAGCATTTGGGGAACCTTTTATGTGACAGCAAAGGCTGGAATTTCCAATAGGGTCCAAGGGAGTTAGGAACCCTATCCTAGTGAATATTCAGTTAGATTTGGGCGCCCTTAGACCCTTCTGCGATCCCATGCTCTAAAGAGACCTAGCATAATGTCAGAAAAATAGCATTTACTGTATGCTCCTCCATACCTGTTCAGTAATCAACCACTGGGATCCGGGCACCTCATTCCCTTAGGCTCCTCTTCTGGAGTCCTGCAGCAAGGAACCTTCCTGACTCCCATAGACACGTACCGGAAGGGGCCTCCAGCACGAATCGGAAAACCAGAAGCAGGTTCATCTTAGGTGAAGATGCAAACTGCCCCGGGGAGCCAGGACCGGGCAGTTCTGTGTGTGTCAGGATGGAGTCTGTGGCTCCTCCAATCAGGGGTTTGTATTTAAACAGGAATCCTCCGGGGCATGTGAGTTCCACAAAATGACTACAAGAGGCGACAGGGTGTGAGCTCTGTCTGCACATGGGGATCTCTCCCTGGGACGCGTGTCCCCCTGAGACCGTGAGATCAGCTCAGCCAGCTGTGAAACCTCCTAAGGCATATGGACGCCAAAACTCAATTTAAAGAAATGTCATTTGGTCGTTTAACACTCTTAAAGTTGTTTGAGATTCTCAGCCAAATATAAGTGCAGGGCAGCGCCTTCTTAGCAACGAAGGAATACTTGTGAAAGGGAAATTTAACCTCTTCTCTTGTGGTTTTGGCGGGGATTTCAATAGAGCCCAAGGGGATTATGAATGCAAATGCCATCGAAATTCAGTAGGATTTGAGAGCTTAACTCCCTTACAGCATCTCTGAAATCCTATCCTGTGTTCAGTAGAGATTATTTGTACTGTTGGGGAAAGCATTGCATTTACTGTACAGGCGTAGATACATTTCTAGTTAATGACGACTTCACTGCAATCAGTTGAGTTCAATGGAAGTCTTTGGGCGGATGTTACTGTGCTTTGGATCACATGAGTTAGTGGCGTTCTACCGGGTGCCTTCAAATTTTAGGTTTCAGAGTAACAGCGCTGTTAGTCTGTATTCGCAAAAAGAAAAGGAGGACTTGTGGCACCTCAGAGACTAACCAATTTATTTGAGCATGAGCTTTCGTGAGCTACAGCTCACTTCTTCGGATGCATACTGTGGAAAGTGTAGAAGATCTTTTATACACACAAAGCATGAAAAAATACCTCCCCCCACCCCACTCTCCTGCTGGCAATAGCTTATCTAAAGTGATCACTCTCCTTACAATGTGTATGATAATCAAGGTGGGCCATTTCCAGCACAAATCCAGGTTTTCTCACCCCCCCCCCCCACCCAAACCCAGTCTCCTGCTGGTAATAGCTTATCTAAAGGAGAGTGGTCACTTTAGATAAGCTATTACTAGGAGGAGAGTGGGTTTGTGTGTGTGGGGGGGGGAGGGGTGAGAAAACCTGAATTTGTGCTGGAAATGGCCCACCTTGATTATCATACACATTGTAAGGAGAGTGATCACTTTAGATAAGCTATTGCCAGCAGGAGAGTGGGGTGGGGGGAGGTATTTTTTCATGCTTTGTGTGTATAAAAGATCTTCTACACTTTCCACAGTTTGCATCCGATGAAGTGAGCTGTAGCTCACGAAAGCTTATGCTCAAATAAATTGGTTAGTCTCTAAGGTGCCACAAGTACTCCTTCAAATTATAGTAGTTTTCCTCTTTCATGACCCCACTGAGAGACCCTGTTCCTCTTCCTCGCTTTCCTTGTGAAATTTTCTGGTGTTGGTTTTCTTGGTGTAATACAGCATCCAACCCGGAACTACATATTTTGTCAAACAGATACGAAGACACGTTCCCACACGTTCCCACCTTGATGATGATGATGAAGATGATGATGATGATCATCATCATCATCACCTCGATTCAAGTAGGTGCTCTTCAAAACTTGGCAGATCAAGCTGAATTTTTCAATCTGTACCTTTCTGTCTCTTTCCCTAGTTCTTTTCCAGTCCAGTGTGTAAGGACTGGATTTGTTTGTCAGTTTGTTTGTAACACCCTGTGACAAAGTGGGACTGTTCTTAATGTTTCCTCTGAATAGTGTGGGGGTGCCTCAGTTTCCCCTAGGCAGTTCTTAAGTATCTAGGGGGTGGAGTAAGGGTGTATGATCATTGCAGAGCCCTAGAGGGCAGGTGTGTGCAGGGGTCTGGACACAGACAGTGGCCGACTCCCTGTTTCCTGGCAACTGATGGCCTGGGCCCTTCCCCCCTGCAAGGTGAGAGCTAAAGGGTTGGAGGACAAAGGAATCCAGTGACCTCCTGGCCCGGGAAAGGAACAAAGCCCAGAGGAGGAGGGGCTGGAGGGAGTTTCAGTTTGGGGCTGGTTGGAGACATGGAGTGAAGTGCAGAGGTGGTTGTCTGGCTCACTGCCCCCCAAAATGGACCCAGCAGACGGGTCCTGTTCTCTGCACTTACAAGCTCTGTGTTAGACCATGTTCCTGTCGTCTAATAAACCTTCTGTTTTCCTGGCTGGCTGAGAGTCACGTCTGACTGCGAAGTTGGGGGACAGGACCCTCTGGCTCCCCCAGGACCCCGCCTGGCGGACTCGCTGGGGGAAGCACACGAAGGGGCAGAGGATGCTGAATGCTCCGAGGTCTGACCCAGGAAGGTGGAAGCTGGGTGAGCTGTGTGTCCTGCAGACAAGCGGCTCACAGGAAGGTGACTGCCCCAGAGTCCTGACTGGCTTCATAGGGAGCAGTTCCGGAGCATCGCCCAGGGACTCCGTGACACACCCTGAGAAGATCTCTAAGATTTAATTATGCTGGATAAGATTTTATAGAGTTTTGGGTCATATTGCTACCAGGGGGCTGATGAATGTCACTCAAGATCACAATTGTCCTGTTCTTGGCTTCACTTGGTCCAAATGTACATAAGGAGTTCCCTCAGATTCCCTACGCGCCTCCCCTTTCCAGAGGCTTTCGATTTACATGGATTTTAATGGGGGAAAACGCAGCTCTTTCAGATCAAATTGTATCCCTGTGCTGGTCAGAATCCGCTTCCCTTTCTTGTCAGAGTTCTTGCTTTGCTCTTTGTAACGGTGTGTCCGATGGGGCAGTAACAGGCGGCGGGATCCCCGGCTGTCAGCGGGCGGAGCTGCAGGGAGACCCGGTTCTTGGCGGGGTCTGCAGAGATGGTGACTCGGCCTTGGAGAGATGGCGCATAAGCTGTTTCCCACTCGTCGTTGTTGTCATCCTGGTACACATCTCGCATCCACTCCAGCCCCTTCCCTGCAGGCTGCCTGATCCAGTTCCAACCGGAGCCACTATCGACAGTTTCATCAAAGACAGAGCAGCTCAGGGTAGGGTCTCTCCGGGCTTCACCACTCCAGGCCTGGACTGGACCAGCTGCACTTGAGATGAGAGGACACCCGGGGAAAGGAGAAATAAGCAAAGACAATATTAAGCACTGAACAATTCCATGGCTCTGTCCCTAATTTTCCCCCACTGCCCCATAAACACTCACAAGTGAGCGCAGAGAACAGGGAAAGGGAAAGCAGCGGAGATTTCATTCTCCTTTTCATGCAATGCGGGAAACTCCCCAGCTGCCAGGACCGGTCAGTTCTGTGTCTGGGGAGAGACTGGCTTCTAGAACCAGGGGTTGGTATTTTAACAGGACCCCCACCCCGGGGCAGGGATTTGAATGCGGGTTCCCCACGGTGGATATGACAGATGACAGGGGACGGTGGCTCAGTACATGGCAATATCCCCTCGGGGACAAGTGTCCCGTTTATGCCACACAGAGACAGAGGGCTCTGCTCAGCACCCAGATACCTACAGGAGGGCAGGGCTGTCGGAGAGTAGGTAAGCGGGTGCAGTGTGTGGCTTTTCTGGCCGGCAGCCTGGAGTCCTGGTCACTACATTCCCTGCTGATCTACAACCCCCCCGTGTGACCTGGGGATGCCACGTAAAGGAACCTTTGTCTTAGTTCCCCATTTTAGAAAACGGAGAGTTCTCGACCCTATTTCAGAAGAGGGCGGTGGAGATAAAATCAGTCGGTGACTCCGAGGTGCACAGGTGCCAGCGAGCAGAGAGCTAGAAAACCACCCGGAAGTTCAGGCGTGTAGATTACTAAGCGGTGTACCCAAGGAAGGAAGGGGTAGCACTCTGCCGTAGACAAACTGTGTGACTTTGGGAAAGCCACTTGGGGGCAGTTTTTCAAAAGTATTTAGGCACCTAAAGATGGAGATAAAGATTTACCAATGTGCCTATGCAGGCCAGAAACCCAACTTCCCCTGACTTTCCTAATGTCCCTCAGTCTCTTTTAGTAATATCGCTAGGTGTCTATCTGTCTCTTAATGCACCTAAGATTTTCGTAAAGGTAACTAGGGTCTTAACTCTTGTTGAAATGAAGGAGTTTTGGGGAACTCGGTATTTTTGGCAATCTCAGTAGATACCTAAATCCCTTTAGAAATCTGACATTTTCCCTATTTATTATGCCTCAGTTCTTCATCTTTAAAATGGAGATAAAGATCGTGCTGTACTCAGGAGACCTTTATGATGTTACGATTATTAATGTTAGTGTATCACCCTCATTATAGACTCTAGTATG